TTCGCTGTGCTGACGGTGGCCTACTTGACCAACCGGGGTCCGACTGCTGCTCTGAACACGAAGTGAACTTCCTTTTAGCTGTGGGAGTCCAGGAAACCGGATGTGTCGAACATTCGTGTTTTCGGCTGCGGTGTTTTCGTTCATGTACCGAAGGAACTGAGGAAGAAGGTTGATCCCAAGGCTTGGAAAGGGATCCAGTAAAGAAGGCGGTTGTAACAGCACGCGACGTGGATTTCGTCGAAACCGGTGGACCGGAACAGCAGCGTCGTCAATCTGGATCAGCTGAGCAGCTTGTGGAAGTGTCGCCGATCATCGAGAAGTCGGACGGGGAAGAGAGCAATACTGCGGATGAACATTGCTCGGACAACGAGTACAACAGTTTCAACAAAAAAAAAAGAAGTTCAAGAATCGGAAGAATGTCAAGGGGGAGATGGAAGACCCCAACGATCAACAACGGCACCTGTATGGCATCGTGATTTTGATATGCAATACGCTGGGTTCGCATTGAATGCGATGAACTTCATCGAGGATATTCCGGATTCGGTTGACAAGTTTGAGAAGCGTGAAGACTGGCAAAAATGGACGAACGCGATGGAAGATGAAATGCGTTCATTGAAGCGGAATAACACCTGGACGCAGGTCAAGTTGCCTCGAGGACGGAAGGCTATCACCTGTAAGTGGGTCTTCAGGGTAAAGCGCGGTGATATGGAAAAGCCGGACAGGTACAAGGCACGGCTTGTTGCGAGAGGGTTTACTCAAAAGCAAGGCTTCGACTACACCGAAACATATTCTCCGGTAGCGAAGATAGACACCCTACGAGCGGTGTTAGAGTTGGTCAACGAGGAACGAATGTACGTTCACCAGATGGACGTCAAGATCGCGTTCTTGAACGGTGAATTAGCTGAGGAGCTTTACATGACCCAACCAGAAGGGTTCCAGCAGATTGGTATGTCGGCTGCATCGTTCCATTTACGGGCTGCAGCATGCGTCACGAGCATGGAACGACAGGCTCGATAGTTTTATCGGTAAGCTGGGGGTTTGTTCGCAGTTACAACGATCTGTGTCTTAACACGCGTGAAGTTCAAAAGGACTTTACGTTGACGACATTATGTTGGCTAGCTCGTCCTTGAAGATGCTGGAAGTAGTGAAACGGAAGTTGGCTCAAGAGTTCGAGATGACCGACGATGATGAGGTTAAACAGTTCCTCGGTATGCGGATCGATCGTGGAAGGGAGAAGAAGATCCTGAAGATCAGCCAGCATGATTACTTTGACGGACTACTGCAGCGCTTTGGAATGGTGGAGTATAGCCCCGTTTCGATACCAATGGAGAACCGGCTGAAGTTTGGGAGAGGAGACGAGAAGTGTAGAACGTCAAAGCCTTACCGTGAACTTGTTGGATGTTTGACTTATGTGTCGCTCACAACGAGGCCAGATCTCTCGGCTGCATTGGACTTACCTGAAACGGATTCTCAGGTACATTAAAGGAACGTTGGACGTCGGTTTGGAGTACAGATCCAAGGAGAATGAGCCGTTACTGCAGGTGTTTTGCGAAGCGATTAGGATTACTGAAGATTCCAGGAAGTGCAAGAGGATGAAGCATGTGGATACAAAGTTTCATTTCCTGCGGGATCTGGTACAGCAGAGGAAGATAGAGATCAGATTTGTGCGATCGGATGATCAACAGGCGGATATCTTGACTAAGGGACTTCCGGTAGCTGGTTTCAAGGCACTCCGCTCCAACCTTAGATTGTAGGTATGCTGTGGTTGAGCAGGGGTGTTAAGTTGGCAACCACTGCACTCGGTGTACCCTTATGCTGGGTTTAGACAGGGCAAGTCAATTGATCAAGTCAGTTGAATTCAACTGACTTGAACGCGAATTGAACGTGTAAACCATGCCATTCAACTGACTTGATCAACTCACTTGAATTGAAAAAAGTTGAACCAGGCTCAACTTTTCAAGCCAATTGAATTCAACTGAGTTGATCATTTGACTTGCCTAATCTAAACCCAGCTTTACTTCTTTCTCTACGCCTAAGCGTTGAATCACCTTGTTGATGTATTCACTGTTTATTATTTTTCCAACCAAAACCCAAGTTCAATAAATACACGTTTTTATTTCTTTGCTTGAATCTAAAACCGCGTTTCGTGTTCGTGTTCTTGTTTTACACATCCGAAAATCTCTCCACAGCTTACGTGCCCGCGTTCTAGCTGAAACTTTAATAAACGTAGTCCTGCTCGTTTCTTGGCTTTCTGCACAAAACTTTTCGTCAGGTGCAGTTTTTTCGCGACATCCCGAACGGAATATTTGGGTTTGCGTTTGAGGACAGCAACCACTCGCTTGTACGGAACACTCTTTCACTTTTACTTCCGTTCTCCGAAACGTTTTAGGACACGAGAAACATTAGATTGTTGGATTCCCAACATCTTTCCGATGGTTCGGTGCGAAAGATGTGGGTTGTTGGTGGGTGTGAGAAATTTTCTCGCGCACGCGCTGTTGCTTCGACTCCATTTTCAGAACTCCTAAAAATTTCACAATGAAACTCGCGCAGTGTAAACAATGCACGCTGAGGCTATCTCACCCAACATTTCTTTAAAATTAACCCAAAGGGCAAAATGTTACAGCTTTTTTAAAGTGATGCAATTTAACTGTGGACACCCTTTAAAGTCTGGAACGCGCACAAATTGGTCAACTTCAAATTGGTGTATTTCTGTTAAAAATGCATAAAAAATGCTGCATTTGGAAGTTGAGTGTATACACAACGGTTGCTATGATGAGTTTTCACCGTTTGCTCTCCAGTTTTCAAAATGACGTCCAAGCAAGAGGAGCAGCGTGTCAAAATTTTGCTCGCGCAGCAAGAGAATCCGACGTTCTCATACACCAAGTTGACAAAATTACTGGATGTGGCCAAATCGACCGTGCCAAACGTTTTAAAAGTGTTTGGAGAGCGTCTGTCGACCGCCAGGAAGCCTGGAAGTGGCGGCAATCGTAATCTGGACGTGGCAGCGACGACGAAGAAGGTGGCGGTGAAATATAAGCGGAATCCTAACCTCTCCATCCGTGACGTCAGTGGCAAGCTCAATGTCTCCCATACTATTGTGCAGTGGGCCAAGAAACGAGCCAACTTTTAAGAAGGTGAAGGTGGCGAACCGAGATTACAAACAAAACACGTCGGCAAAGCAGCGGTCCCGAAAGCTGTATACGAATCCGCTCACAAAGTTCCACTGTGTCGTCATGGACGACGAAACTTATGTGAAGGCGGATTTCAAGCAGCTTCCGGGGTAGGAGTTTTATAACGCATTAGGAAGGTGGCTGAAATTTTCAAAACCATCAAACTATCGAAGTTCCCGAAAAATATCTCGTCTGGCAGGCCATATGCACGTTTGGTCTAAAAAGCGGCATTTTCATTACTATGGGAACCATCAATCAAGAGATCTACGTCCAGGAGTGCCTGGAAAAGTGGCTGCTACCATTCTTAAACTAACATAATAGACCTGTGCTGTTCTGGCCGGACTTGGCGAGCTGCCACTATGGGAAAAAGGCAATCGAGTGGTACGATGCGAACAACGTGGTTGTGGTATCCAAAGACAACAACCCTTCCAACAGCCCGGAACTCCGCCCTATCGAACGGCATTGGGCCTTGGTCAAACGGAACCTCAAAAAAAAAAAAAACTAATAAATCCATGGAAAACGAGCAGCAGTTTAAATCTAACTGGCGTTCGGCGGCGAATAAGGCGTTATTTGGATTAGAAGTGATATTTTCATCCTACGATTTTTGAAAAATGTCAAATACGCCATATTGAAAAAAAAAAAATTCAAAATCCGATATGGCCAAATTTCAGCACAAATGTGAATGATCACCCACAGCAAACAATTATGCAAAGCGTGCAGCAAATCGAAGAAGGTGGAGTCAAGAAATCATTTGTTTATTGCTATTTGGCCTGGAACCGCTCATTAGTATCATATAGTATTTATGGTATAGCCTATACCTATCACATTACAATCGGTAGTTATGCTGAGTGTATTCTTTGTGTTATCCCGGTGAATGCTTTGTCATGGGCATGACAGGTAGAAGAAAAAAATCTCTTTATTTTTAAGCTCTGCGCTTCTTCTAGACAGAGCCAATCGCTGCCACCGTTGTTGTCGTCGTCGTAAGTGCTACCGAAAGAGCTGTTTGAAGACGGGTCTTCTTGTTTGAAGTGAGTAGAGAAGAAAAAAAGGTGGAACGACGTGTTTGTTTTGAATTATAATGGGCCTCCGGCCCAAGCCAACTGCGGTCATTTGTCAGCGCTCCAACGGATGAGCAGTCAATTACACTACTGGCTTGGTTTGTTTTTGTTCTCCTGGCCCAGTAGATTCTTTGTTCCATTGAAACATGGCACTTGAAGGCCCAGGAATTAATTAAGGAATTAAGAATATAATGCTTGAAGCAGGTTATGGGAATCGTTGTTTTCGTTATCATGCCTAATGATTTTTTTTTAAATAAAGTCGATTTCCACGATCAGCTGTCTAATTAAGCTACTAAGCAAGTTTATTATTAGTAAATAAGTTAAGAATTAAAGTGGAAGAATACAACAAGCATATGTATATAACTAAATTCTGAATATAACATAAAAAATCATAAGTTAGTAACTTAGTAATACATCAAGTTGGTAAATTAATAAATTATTAGGAATATAAGAACTAGAGATTTCTGCGCTGCGCTAAAATTGTCGCAATCAAAAGTGCTCTAGAAAATCTAACTTCACCATCGTTGAAATCTCGCCTCAGCGCAGACGCATGTTGTTACCCGGCAACGGCTGTTTCCCCTTTTCCTCCTCCCACGCATTCGCTCAGCTTCCAGCTCCCAATGCGTCACCATCGGCGCTTTATCGTAAGAGGTTCTCCTTGAGGAAGACGCGACACGTTCGCACGTCTCATTAATTTCGCGCTGTTTATCTTCCCTTCGACCGGTCTCGTTCTATTCTTTGGTTGTATAAATATAAAACATACACGATATGGTTCTAACACTTTATTCGTCAGGCAACGTTCTGCCAGTGAACACAACGCACACAGGGTCTGCTTCCGTTCCGCATCGAATCGCGCGGGGAAAATTACGTCGTTGAGAATTGAGGAATCTTCTAGTTTTGTTTTAACGCTTGGATTGGTGTCAAACACAAATCGAAAATCCCAAAATGAAGGTCAAGTTCAACATTAGTGGAGCAGCAGTGCTACTGCTGGCGACGCTGTCAGCATCCTTTGCGGCGAAATTCCGTACGTATAAGTGTAGTACAAATTGGATAACAGTGGCATGTGAATTGGCGTTTAAAAATAAGTGTTTTGGTATTTATTTATCGTAATTGTTTGCCACTTCCTGCAAATCAAATCGTGAACATGTGAATGTTTTAAAATTGTGTCTTAAAAACGTGAATGGGCATACATCAGACGCCCGAGTGATCATACCTAAGATTAAAGCTGTTCCCAAAGTGATGTGGTACATTTGCAGAAGTAGATATGCTGCAATGGGGCGAATTTATGAGATGTTCTAAAGCTCATTAAAGTGTTAGATTTTTTAGATCTTCAGTTTAGGTCGTCCGGAGTTATCATTCTCATTGAAGGTTCAATTTTTTTGAAAGTGATTTAAAGAACCCATTATGGTTACTTGGCAATCTTACAAAGAGTGCGGTGGCTAATTTATTCAACACGCTACTATTTTTGGCAGTTTTTTTTTTTTTTTTTAATATGAATATTAGAACTTTAACGCCTTGTTTATATTAGAGGAGACCTTGCCAGAACCGGACTGATATTTTGCGCCTCTTTTTCTGTATTGTCGTTTGGACAGACAGGAATCTTCTATCTAGTCAAGATGTTGATCTAAAGCAAATTAAAAACGAATGGCACACTACCATCGTTCTTATCTAACTGGCCAAAATTCGATTTTCAAAGTTAATCCAAATTAATTTTGAATTGTTGCATTGCCCACCCAAAAGATATAAGAACAATAGTCTAAGCCAGCGGTACTTTTTTCGATTATGACCCATTTTTAGGATTTGTATATATATCATCAATGTTAAATGCAGATGTTCTAAGGCCAACGTAATGTTAAAAACTCCAAAATGGATTTAAAACGCAAAAAGCCATGGAATTTTAACGGCTTGAAACGCCCAAACAACCCAAAAATGCAGAGAAAGATAAAATAGCTTGTAATGACAAAATTGAAATAAACACTGATAGAGTTATCTAAACGCGTGAGTAGTATCAAAACAATAATTTAGCCAAGGGGTAATCAACTCTGCACATTGTGCCGAAACACATCGTTGCACACCTGATCGGCACGTCATGGCACTCGATGGCATATAATGTAAAACGGCATCACTGTTTTGTATTGACATTTAACCACTTAACTTCTTCGTTTACTTCAAAGTAAGAGGGATTTTTTTGTGTCAGCGAAATTTTCCCCAATCATAATAAGAGATTGCATAATTGACGAGACTCTCTTTGTCCTTATGCCTTCTGGGGGATGAACCTCTACAGAAAGTCCACACGGCTTTTGAAAGATGTCCATTATTTCAGGGAAGTCTAAAAGAATTAGTCAGAGTCACGCCCCGGAAAATCGGCCAGAATTAACTAGAATTAAGTATTAACCCGATGGCCATAGGATCCGAGAGTCAATGGTATGGGTAAGGAGCATTGCAGCAATAATATACGGTTTCAACAACAGCCCGGTGCCGAACGATCCTACTATTCTTCAGATGTATCTGCAATCGCAGCTGATTCTCCCGCAGAACTACCCGGTACGATTGATGGTTTACCAATCAATCGGCCGTGCAGCTCATTCTATCAACTGAACTCGGATTCGTTTGACTGTGGAGGCTGGTGAGGTCAGTGGATCCCGTATTAAGGGTTTGCAGTCTCTCTACACTCTTTCGAAACTGTTCGTATCACCGACGGCACACGCTTTGTCTGAAGGCACTTTTTTTGCAACATTCATGTACCTCAGTTTTTTCTTCACAGGATGTTAGTATTGATCCTAACAATCAACTCTGTGATGGTTTGAAAATATTTCATCTTGGGCTTTTTGAGAAAATGTGATTTGAAGTTTACAACGCCGATAACGCAGGCGTATATTGGACTATTGACGATACAAAACTATTGCGAATTGAACAAATGCAGTTAAATCAGGTTCAAAAGTTGATTGAATTAATTCAAATGGCATTAAAGATTTCTCTTTGACTCTCAAGCAAGATGCGTACGTCGACTTTGCGCAAAATCAATTAATATTTGTTGCTAGAACAACTTCTTGTTTAATGTCTCTTCCCTCATAAGAGTAAAAGAGAAATAAACGAACAGCCGCGTAATCATAGTAGGCATTGATTTTCTGCCTGTTTCGAGTGTTTTTGAATCTCTCGAAGAAAATAGAGAGTTCGCTTGTTGTGCTTCAAAAAGAGATTGTAAAAAAAAAAAAAAAAAAAAAAAAAATCGCGCCACTTTAGTAGCGACGTAAGTTGAAAGATTTTTATAAGAGTTCGATAAAGGAGTTAGTAGGTATCTGAAATGTTTGTGTCCCGTACTCAGCTGGTCACGAAGGTGACATTTACAACCCTGAGGGATAGAAAATTAGTTTGGATTTTTGGAACCCCTGACGAAGTTGTTTAAAAATCGGTTCACAGATAATGCCGATAATATAGGAATGAAGCTCACATGATATTAGCTGCTCTTGCCCAGTGAATTTAGGTAGCCTTCACCTTTAATTACTACAGAAATGCTAGAGCTTCATTGCAGTTCCCATATTTTGTCTAAGGAAACTTTCAGGAAGGCTCAGCGACTTTCTAGGAAATTCTGCGAACTATAGGGAACTGTAGTGAATTTTAGAAAAGTTAAAGACGTTCCTCAAAATAATCAGAGAAGTTTAACAACCTACAGAGAAGTTCATTGATCTCAGTTCAGAAAAAATCTTCAAACTTTAAAGATGTGCTTCGATCTTCAGAGAAGCTCTATAAACTTCAGGAAAATTCTGCCAACTTCAGGGACGTTTTGTGAGCTTCAGGGGAGTTCAATGTCCTTCTGATAAGTTCTACGACTCACAAGACTCAGAGACGTTCTGAGAACTTAAAAAAAGTTCTAAGAACAACAGAAAAAATTAAAGAATTTCATCGAAGTTCAACGAAATCAAGGAAAACCCAAATGGACAGGGATATGAATTTGATTGTATTTAACTTCTATAAGCTGTCTCATCGCGTCGTTGGTGGAACAACTCCCACTTCATGTCTTAGAAAACAGGTATGATAGAGAGAATTTGTTGCGATATCTCTTTCTCTTTTACACTTCCTTTATGAAATCTGATCAACGGCATGAGCAGGGTGGCAGCAGGGGCGGGATGTGCTGTCAAATCGGCCTACTGAAAGTCCATCAAAGAGATGTAAATATGGTAAAAAATCTCTCACGAAGATTTACTCAGCTTTAAGAAAGATCTTAATCCGAGTCTTAATAAGGTCTGTAACTTTACACTATATTTTTGTTATGTTACATACGTCAAACTATCCAGCCCTGTCTCAAATCAGCTATGACGAAAGACAACGCGGCCAATAATGATCCCAATAACGCTTCAAATTCTGTGGCTGCTGCAAATGCGACTCATCATGCGCAATTTGGATTCGCTGGTCGCCATTGTAGGTGCTTGGTAAACGTGTAGTTTTGGAAGGATGCAATTTTGATCATCAGCTAATGGTTTTGGATAATATGAATGCTATGATGAGATATTGTTTTGGTGATAAACTCATGGATGAGTGCATAGGTCTTATTTGTGAAATTTGGTCTACTAAAATTCAATATTGTAAAATATCACATTATAGATTTTTGCAAGAGTACAGGAAAAGTCTTAGCCTGGTTCACGGAAAAAAACACACGAAGCTGTTCATAATGATTTTTCCCAAACATGGAGTATCTATAAAGCAGTGGAAAATAATTTCAGATACGACAAAAACTTGATGAAAGCGGTGGTATCGTATAGTAGTGCTCATTTGAAGTAATCTCCTTATCTTGGCAGCTCCAAGTTTTGTTTTTATCATTCTCTTTAGATATTTATGTAAACATTGATAAGAATGGATGAAACAAATTTTAAATTTAGTTTATTCTCTCCATTGTAAATTATTTTATCATTTTAAACATTATGAGTTCACGACAAAGTTACGACATCTTACGGTGCCGAAGAGGAAATCTTACTGTACCATTGAAACGTAGTATTTTGACTACCTTAATCTCCAACAATCATATTCCGTTGTATTTGTTTCGATCCGTAACAGTTTTGTATCGTCAATGGTCCATATACGCCTTCATAAACGACTAAGTATACTTCAAAATACTTTTTCTCAAAAAACCCAAGAAAAATATTTTAAAACCATCACTGATTTGATTTTTAAGATCCATTCTAACTTCCTGTGATGAAAAAACTGAGGTACATGAATGTTGCAAAAAAGTGCCTTCAGACATAGCGTGCGGCAACAGTAACATTAAGAAAGATGCTGCTAACAGAATTGTGAAGGTAACCACACCGGAGGTAACAGGATAAAGGGGAATCTAAGATCTTTGCTATAAAGGAAAAACAGGTAGAAAATGCCATATCCAGAGAACGTGAAAAACGGATCTGTAACACCAAGCAAGACGTGCATTATGAGAGTATGTCAAACGTGTTCGGCAAATCAAAGGTTCTACAATGGATCACATCATTCGAGCAGTTTATATGGCGTTTCCTACCACTCGAACTTTGGCGTGGATTAGTGTCTTGAAAAAAAAAAACTACAAGGGACAGCCCTATGGGGTTGTACGCAATGGTGACGTAGAACTACGTGGTCTTATGTAATAAATCTTATTTATTACTGCAGCAGGAGCTTGTGTTTTGTGTAGGAATAGGAATTTGAGCGGGGTTCTCTCTGTTTATACTCTTTAGTATGACGCGCTTGACATAGATGGCCCACAGCAACTCACAAAGAGCTACTGATTCCGATCAATAGCGGTGCGGCTTCTTCCTCCTTCTATGGATGCTCATGTGGGCTGCAACTCGCTGCTTAGCGGCAAATAGGATTGCTTATAGTTAATTTTTCTGAAAATCCAGCAACCTAAATGAATACAGTAGTTATTTTGCTAGCACCAAAAAGCCGTAGTCGTGAATTTCATTTCTCACGAAGTTTTAAACTGCGGGTAATTTAAACAAATGTACTTCAGCAAATACCACAGAAGACGGTTAGAATGACTCATATATTGAATCTGCAAATGCT